TTTGTAGCCCAGGCTGGTCTCCCAATGATCCTCCTGCCTTGGCCTCCTGAGTGCTGGGATTACAGGTGTGTGCCACCATGCCTGACTATTTATTTCAATAAAACAATTTCATTTTATTTTTTACCAAGGGGATGAAATGCTATCCGATGTTTTAGTTTGAGTCATTGATGTGTTTTGAGAAATCACCACAATTTAAAGAAATAAATATTTTCTGTGCTGGAAAATGTTACATGAGACACTAAACTTATGCATAAAATAAAAAATGTTGAAAAGAAGAAAAAGGTTTTTTAGACCATTTATCAGAAAACATTGTCGATTCAGACTTTCACAAAGATTCTGTGGTTGGCAAAAATCAATGAGGTCACTTTAGTTATGTAAGTAAGTGTAATAGTTCTGATAATGTAATTTAACAACTCAGACATTAGGCCCTGGAATCAATGCAATCTAGAATTCATTCTGACTTTGCAACTTACAGTGGGAGACCTTTAAAAAAATTACTTTCTGTCTACTAACTTAGTTCACATATCTAACAGAAAAATGGGAAGTTGCAAAAGAAAAACAAACACCTCATTGACACTTCTGAGAGTTGAATGAACCTTAGCTTTCTTATTACTTATTTTTAGTATTTTAACAGACTTCTCATGTTATTTCTGGTTCATATGAGTTAGTACGTGTCAAAAGTTATTCTACAGGATACTTTCATGTCTTTACAGTACATTTATTTTTTGCAATGTTTTGCTCAGTATTTAGTTTTCTAATTTCAGTTAAACATTTTATGAGAGTATGTCAAATTTATCTTTTTATTAAAGGTGAAAATGTTTTTATTTAATTTAAATAAGTGAAAAGTTGACTTTCATGACTTAATAATTCGCTTAATAAATGTACTTTGAAGTTTGGGGTGAATATAAAGTACAATTGTATGTGTACAGTTTTTAAAGTACAAAATTAATTGTTCATTGTCATGATACCTATGGAATTTTATTATAAAATGTATTGATTACCATGATGCATGCCTCTAATCCCAACAATGGCAAGGTTGAGGCAGGAAGATCACCACGAATTCAAGACCAATCTGAAGTATATAGTGACACCCTCAAAACAAACAAACAAACAAACAAAAATATTGATTATCCTGGGTACACGTACACTTGTGCGTGTTCTTATCCTTCTTAGAACTTTTACTAGAACTGAAATTGTGTGCCTTGATACTATACAACTGTAATCTTCCTTTATTTATGTAATGAGATAGAAAGAAGCTAGCCTCCCCCAACATTACTTGTCATGTCAGTTGTATAGTATTTCTACCCAAATGTTATAGGTATTGTTATTATTATATGTAAAATGAAAGGAGTTCCCAAGTAGGAGATGTCAACAGACTAGTGGATCTTCTCTTTTCTGTGCTATATTTCTTTAGTATTATGTGACCTCTATTTTGAAAAGTGACAGTGATATGGTGTACTTGACTTGGGAGTAATATTTATAGCCTGTCCTGTTTGTTCACATGAGAAAAATACAGTATAAGGTAAGGTGGAGGGTTTCAGACCCTGGGTAAGACAGTATCTCAAAATTTCTCAGTATTTATCACCACTCCCCATACTGAGGAGGTCAACGGGCATGACAGTTATTAATATGATTTATGAATGCGTAGGTCCTTTACCAATATCAGTTGTTCTTCAGCTTTCCTAAAATTTAAGGAGTACTATATAAACAGAATTGAAAGTAAATTCCAATCCGAATTTCTTTCTTTTTTCCCAGTCACTTCCCATCTACAGTGCTCTGGTAGAATTGGAGTATCTGGACATGGTGGTGAATGAAACCCAGATTATACCCAGTTCTTAGCAGGCCTCACAGGACATGTAAGAGAGATGTTGAGATCAATGGAATGCTCCTTTCCAAAGAGACAGTGGTGATGGTGCCGACATGGGTTCCTTATTGAGACCCAGAGCACTGGCCAGAGCCTGAGGAGTTCTGCCCTGAAAAGTGCAGGGACTCTGGAAAAGGGAACCTACTCTCAACCAGGCTGGTCCAAGCATGTGACAGGTGCCTTACAGAGATGATGTAAATGTGATTGTTCAATCATTTGTATGTAACAAAATATGTCTTTTTGTTTTCAGAAATTTTTAAAATTACATGATCTTTATTCTTAAAACTGCAACAGAAAAGGCCACCTCTCTCAAAAGGAAAATATGTTCATCCATAGTCTTCATACCTTAAGATAAATTTTTATTTAAGATGAAATATGTGATTATGGACAATTTTAAATATTATGTGTATAGTAACTTGAATGATATCATATTTCACTTGTATTTTTACTTTACTTACAATAAATTATGTTATTCACTGTTTTATGTGGTGATGGTGCCAACATGTGTTATATATCAAGATACACTCATATCTTTTATTGATATGTTCATCTGTCATAGCTTACTTAGCAATTGTCTTCTTGCAGGTGTTAGTGTTTCTTATCACTTTCAGATTTTCTGTGCAGTTCCTTTCGCTATGGGTTTATCATGAGCTTAGGAAGTGATTCTGTCTTCCATCGGGTGAAACAATGGCTCGTGGTTCCATTTGTGTGATGGTGTACATTCAGGGGAGGCCAGAGCAGCTGTCCTTTCTGAGGACATGAGAGAGCATGGGTCCTCCCACCCTTCTGTATTCATAAGTTCAAACTTTCATTAAGTGCCCACGTGGTAAAAAGCAGTGCTTAAACATAAGAGATAAAAGAGTAACTGTACTCTCTGCACACTCCAAACTTTTCGATCACCTTTCCAACTAAAATTTGAACTCATGGGACAAAAAATACATTTTGCAACCTGGAGTTGCTCTACAACTTCTGTTCTGTCTGAGGAAGGGCCAACAGTCAGGTGCTGGCTGGATCCCCTGTTCTTTCCAGTCAAAGATAACAGGAGCCAAACTAACAGGTCGAGGTCCATAGCTCACTGCACATCAGTCTTGTTGCTTTGACTTTCTTCCAGGAAAGACAATCATTGCACCTATTTTATGGATTAGACAACTGAAGCTGAAAAAGAGTAACTCAAGGGGGCCTCTGCTTCAGTCACACTGTGAGGCCAAGTTCTGGCCAACACAGTTCAAAAAAAAAGGAAAGGATGCTCATCCAGTGTCAGCCATGACTCCCTGGAGATCCTTGTCTCTGGGACAATACAAATAAGCATCTTCTCTTTACAATGTACCAGTCCCAAGTAACTATGACAGCAGCACCTAATGAACTAAGACAACAATGATGATTAGGCTGGACATAACTCACGGCCTCTGTAAGTTGGCAACAATTACTGATTTCCTTTTACTCCTCTGTTTCACTGCCTTTTCTTTTCTGCTTTCTTGAAAACTCAAATATTTCTGATTCTGACATGTCTGAAGTAT